TATTAATTATATTCCCAGAAAGAGTTGCTCCAAACTATTTCAACCCATATATTTTATGAAAGCCCGGACTTTACCCTAAATAAAAATCAATGTTATATCAAGCACAACCGTCGGTTAGTCACGTAAATAAATCCATTATTGTGACTTTAAATCAGTATTGTGAAGAAATTCACGAGAAAAATACAGGTTAAAACAATAGTGTGTAAGGGACGACGTCAAAAGATCGATGTCAGATAAAAAACTTAATTCCTTTAGTTTTTTACAAACCCCCCTACCCCCCACTGAAACTTAATTGATAAATATTGGTCATGGCGTCAGACTACATTCAACCATAGATCACAGGTCAACTCGCACCAATGCTAACTCGCACCAATGCTAACTCGCACCAAACCAACTCGCACCAATGCTAACTCGCACCAAACCAACTCGCACCACCACTAATGTATTGGGCGATTTAAGAGGCATCCAGCTTTGCAGTTAAAAATAAACAGGTCGATACGTCTAACTATTCTAAATACCTTAACTGGAAGCAAAATTACATAAGATTTCCCACCAGGGTCGATAAAATCGACAATTTCCAATGTCAACCGAAAACATACGCCGCTATCTTGTTCTTGGCGTAAAACTAGTTCCAGTACTGTAGGCTCATTTTTCGGCCAAAAAAAGGTATTTGTGGTCGCTAGATAGATGTTTTAGCTGGTTAAAATTATGAAAACTGCAGAACGCCATAAATGTGTAGGCGGGTGTCGAATCCTCGGTCTATGCGACTTTTCATGACTGTGGGAACCGAATGAACAGCGGAAGGAGGCCAACCTACAGGACTGTACTCTGGGCTATCACTATATATATGCTAAAACTACGTAATCCTTGTGTAAGTCGCGCATTACCAAAAAAGCAGTTTCAAATACCGACGCCTGAGACGATCTACGCCAGTTGTGAATGCTACACATTACCGAACCGGCAGGTTCAAATACTGACGCCTCCTACAATGGTAAAATAGCGCAATACTTGCGCAAGTCACACATAACCAAGTCGGCAGGTTCAAACGCTGAAACCTTGAACAATAGTAAATCAACACCACGTTTGGTGCCGGGTTCTCTCGTACGTATTGTGGTGCCAGGATCTCTTGTGACCAATCCGAATTCAAGTAGGGAATAGACATCAATGTTCAATAAACACATTAACACATACATATATTTTTTAAATACTAAAAATGCAAAAACAATAATAGAAATAGCAAAATACAAAGAAAACTGTTTCAAAACAAGAGAGGTAAAACTGAAAACAATATAGTCAGCTAACTCAAGATAAGGTCATGTACATGCAT